TAATAGTTCTGACGGCGAAAGTGCGTCCTCCCTCAGAGGCGTTTCTGTGAGAGGGGCATAATAAATTTAAATTACAATTTCTAGTACTTCTCGAATGGATGTCAGAGTTTTTCCTTAAAGATGTGTTCATGTATTCAGGTAAAGTTCTGTTTATCCTTTTGTAGGCCAGTGCACATCGAATGATTGATAAAGATGTTCATCAGCACCCTACATGTAAACCTATTTTGTCATACATACTTTTCACTCTCCCCAACCCAGCTGGAGATTAGATCAGAACTGGACACACTGTAAAATATAGAGTTGATCTCTGAGGCCACTGCTTGTGCCAACCTTGTTTTACCTGTAAATAAAGTAAAAACTTGAATCTCAACGGACCTTTTTACTGATGTCACCCTTTTCCGATTTCTTCATTTAACCAAAAAGTAAGCCTCACCACTCAATTCATGTTGCCAAAGTTAGTGAGTATGCAAAGTAAATAGCTTTGGGGACCCATATTTTTATGTGTCGAGTGTCCACAGGATTCTTATGAAACTTTGCATACACTAGTACTGTATTTACTAAATTTGACACGGCATGATAAAGTGATCCACAGAAGTGGTTTTTTCTTTAAATGAAAGATATAAAAAAATATATATATTGTTGATATTGTATGACATTCTATATAATCATTCTTAATGTTTATGAGGAAGAAAGGAACACAATTACCCACATGCCTCGATACAGTCTGATTTACCGTACCCTGCTGTTCTTTATTTTACTATATTTACTAGCTATGATAGACATCATTTATATCCACCTGTTCCTGGTGGTCCATACAGTAGTATCCTTCTCCAAGGTTGTCGGCCACCTGTCAAATGATCCGCAACAGACAAAATGAACTAAGCAAGCATGGGATTAATATGGTTATTAATAGTGTTTTTGTTTCTTCATTTCATTTCTTCATCATAGCCTCTAATAGATGATGACTGCTGCATGAAAAGTAATCAAAAACATAACTACAAAACAAACTAACCAAGGAGGACTTAAAACATCATAGGTTCAGAAGATCGAGTATTTGTAGGTGCTTAACAGTACACTAATTGGGGTTTTCTTATAGATTAGGCTTCTACATTATTTTCTATTATGTACTGGTTACAAGAAAATTCAGTTGTCTCCATTTAATGAACTGAGACAATATCTTACCCGTAAACAGATGTGGGAACTGTAGTGGCATAATGATGGCTTCCTTCAATGCTTGCTTTGCATCGTTGAGCCCCACAACATCACAAAATTTAATACTACCCTTCTGAACAACTGTGTCTTGAATTGCAATTTTTCGCCTAAGGTAATCAAAACAAACTTACAATGTCTTGGATTGTTAAAGTGCTCTAAGAAATCACGGCTTTGCTATGTCTATTGAGGGTGAGGAGGGGTTCAACAGAGAACAGCTCATTGAAACCTTACAAAATAATTATTTGAGATCAAAAAGCACACACAAGATTACACATTGCATAATGAAATATTTGTTTACTGTTTACAGACACTCAGTTACAAACCATTTCAATAAAAAAGTATGGTAGAATACTAAGATGAATATAAACTATCAATATAGTGTGGAATAGCATGGCCTGATGCACCTCCACTGTTAACTCAAGACTTACAACGACAACAATGACAATGTTAACTTAACTGTGGGGTTTTCAATCCAAAAATAGATTTTTTTGTTTTCTCTGGGAAAGAAACAGCTACAGTGATGGACTTTTCATGGTAAAAGAAGGTAACAGTATTCAACTGCATCTCTTAGACTTTATATAGAAGAACTAAATATTGTTACCAAATAAGCTAACCTTTTACACTGATGATTTTCACTCTTTATTGGATCCATTTCTAAGGGAAAAAGGTTTAATGCTTTTTATAGACGTTTCGGCAAACCATTGAGTATCCAGATCATGTGTACTAAAGGCATGCGTGATCAAGTGTCAATCGATACCATCAATCAACCTGCGATTGACACTTGATTGACATGTTAATAGACACACAATTAATATCCTGATTGATACTCAGTCGACACTCGATTGACACTCAATCGACATCTCAATTGACACTTGATTGACAGTCTGTTGATAGCTGGTCGAATGTCGGCTGACTCATATAAATTGATTGAAAATTAATGAACTGTTGACTGAGATGTTGATTGAGTGTCAACTGAGGTGTCAATGGAGTGTCAATCAAGCATCAATCGAGTGTCAATCAAGGGTCAATTGAGGGTCGATCGAGGGTATTGACTGAGGGTAACAATTAGGGGTATTGATCAACACTCAACCATGGACGCCTTTAGTACTATGATCTGAGTACTCAGCATTTGCAATAAACAATAATAGTACATAACGTTGGCAATCATTTTTGATGAATGTCAAAGGAGAGGCTTAACTTACATACAAGATTTTCTGGTGAGCTAAAAAGTAAAAGGTCAGTTACAACTTAAGACCATTTTGATGATTGCAAATCAATTATCATCAACATACCTAAGTCAGAAGTATTTCCACAATCAAGCTGCCTTTTCTTGCTACAAAGTGTCTCAAGACAACTTTCAAGGGAGACAGACAATTCATCAAGAGCTCCCTAAGAATATATACATAAATTTTGTCTGGACTTTAAAAAAAAAATGTGTTAGCCACATTCCTAATAATTCTACCCACACGGGGGCAGGAGGGGGTACTCCGAGAAAAATTTGATGAGGGTGTGCAGCCCACTTCCCAAAACCCTTACCCAATTTATGACCAAAATCTGTGATTTTCCCTACCCTATTTATGACTTGACCAAAAATGCGATACCCTGCTTATGACAGTTGCGCCCAACACAGTTGCCCTAAACATAACGTTTGAAGGGCTTTTGCTTCCGGTCTTATCGATAATAATGAAAAAGTAGCTTCTTCTAAACAACATACCCAATTCAAGACTAGAGTACAAAAACCATACCCCATTTAAAACCAAAATGGTCAAAATTGATACCCCATTTGGGACCAAAACAGCTGAAAAACCATACCCTTTGAGGGAGTACCCCCGCCCCCAGAATTCTACGCTGAAAATAAATAGCATGGAAAAACCCCAGATTTAAAGAACTGCTTATGTCTCTCTGAATGAGTATAAAATGACAGGTATGCTGACAGCATGTTTAATTCACTTTCAGCTTTATATACATCTACACCTCAATAGTTTCACAAATGAATACCCAGCTCATCCTTTCAAATCATTAAAGAATTGTTTTCACAGAATTCATAACCTGAGAAACCATGCAAACATACTTCAAAATAGCTTGCAGTCTGTTATGTTCATTTGATATCTCACATTTTGGCATATGCAGCAAAACTTTCCAAATGTAAAATTTTGTTGATTTGCTATGAAAACAGCTTACATGTACAACAAAACTGGCATGAATAATTACCCTATTAACAATACTATGTACAAAGTCACTTCTTATATCAAATCAAGTAATATGAAAAACAACTTTCACTGACTAAGTATAAACTTACTAGCATTCTATCACGAATGCCCTTCTCTGATTGGCTAAGCTACTAACTATCTATTCTGTAGTAGACAGTAATTAGGCTAGCAGAGTGCAGTTGTTAACAAAATTGTGGCCACGTAGTCTGTAAAAAAAAAGTGTGAAGTGAGACTATAGTACACACAGTACTTACCAACTTAAGTGAATCTTCCTCCATTGGTATGAGCATCTGAACACAATGGGATGCATTTTCACAGTTGCAAATCAACATGTCAAGATTAACATGGTCTCTTTTTTGACTCTCACAAACAGCTTCCTCTAACCTAAAAGATTTGCACCAAGAAAATGCTGAGTGAATTGTGATTCACCAAGTTAAACCTATGAATGAGTGGCCATCTCTGGTGACATATTTTTAACAAAGATCTTTGCAACCATAAGGTCCTTGGAGATCATCTTCAATCCTAAACTAAAAGATCTTACTGGGTTCTTGCACTGACCCATCCTTAACAATCTTCAAGAATCTTCCAAAATCTTGCAGGATCTTCAATCAATTATTGGATCGTGAAGATCATGGTATTAAAATCTTAAGTACCAAATTCTTGAGGATCTTAAAAGATCCTTGCATCAGGTCTTGCTAGGATCTTTGCTCATGATAAAATCATCATTCATCTTCTAAAATCCTCATAAGAATCCTTCAAGGATTCTTTAAAGATTTTTACTTTTTAGGATCTTTGACAGATTTTACCATGAAAGTCTCAATACTATAAATCAGTGGTTAATACTTTGTCTAATATTCTTTTGCAAGAAATTCATTAACATTCTAATTAAACACAAATAAGCAAAGGTGTCATGAAATGTCATGAAAAACATATTTGTATAACACAAAGGACAATAGCTCAAGTATATATCTGTTATTCCTTTCGCTCCAAAGGTATTAATAACTTATTCATATCTGGAATTATCAGAGATGCATTTGCATTTTGTTATCATCTAGCAAACTGAGAAGAAGTTATACAGGGAGAGACCTAAAAATGTGGCATGCCTTTACCATGTGATTCACATGTAGAAACATATAGTGTAACTTACTAGTTGGAGTTATTAGTCAGAAAAAGCACTAAAAACAAACAAATATGCATAAATTTACTCACCAGCTCACAGCATCTTTAGAGGAAAACAGTTCATGAAAAATATAGCAGACAAAAATCGTATCAACAATCTCGAAATTAAAGATCAGTGTTCATTGAGATTTACATTTGATAAGGTAAATTGTACATGTGACCCCAGTTCATCTGATATTTTAAGCTTCAGTCAAAGAAAGAAAAATGAATGACTTATTGGTGCTACAGCTTTATAAAAATTTTGATCCGTCATATGAGAAGGCAGCCACTCCAGTTATACCAAGATCTTGGTTTCTACAAATGATATCTTCACACTAATGGTGGTCTATACTAAGCCATGTTATTGTTCATCAAATATTACCACTTGCTCGTGACTAGTTGAAATGCATCACATACTAAAACTGGGGAATATCTGGATGACATTCCTTGGTTTGTGTAATGCAAAAACTATTTGAAGGACAATAAATGCAATAGCGCCTATTTGACTTTACAAATATGATCGGATATTTGTTGTTGGATATTATCTGTCCCTCGAAGGTCACAGTTTACCATGAACTTCACTCTTGGAAAACTGTTTGTTTCTCAGAGCAGATCAGGTCTGCAGAGCATATTTTCATGACTCATTCACTCATGACTCTTAGACTCTTATATACTTTTGTCTCATTTTCACGACTTTTCCAAATGAAGCAAACTCAATAAAGGTAGCATCATAAAATACTTATTGACTGAGTTGAGTGGTACCAGATGAAGAAATATTTGGCTTTGGGTTATTTCACACAGACCCCAGTCTCCCGCTCACCCAGACGAACCGTATCATGGCCTCCACACTAGTACACCACTAGTACTAGACTATTTAATAAACCTGGAAGGACTTTCTGGTTCGCGACAATATTTACTGAAACCTGAATAAACAACGCTCGAGTTTATCAGCTTTCTCTGCAAACTGAGGTCTTTGACAAAGCCTAACATCGTTGACAGACTTCCAGGAAAGAGCGACTGAGCCTCGCCTGCACGCACGGCCATTTTATCTCGCTCGCTTGTTTTGAATTCAGTGGCTTCTTACTCAACAACACATAAAAGACTGAAAACAGTCACTGCGTGTAGTCCGTGGAAGAACATTGAAAGTCCAAAATACATTTTATGACAATAACTAACGAGAGTCCTGTATAATGCATTCTGGGACTTGGAGAATTCCAACTTGCATTCACATTTCAAATTTAAGTCTTAGGCTTACGTACCGCCCCGTTTCCTAAGTATGGAATACTAAACTCATAGCGATCACAATCAAGACACGGCGAAGTAATAAATCTATTCTTTGAGGTTATTCGTAAATCTTACCTGCATATATGTCTAATCTATTCATGCTATCAGACCTTCTAAAATTGCTCGGATTTGCTCCCGTTCCTGAGCCAAATTCGAGAAATGGTAATGGCGACGTTTCGGTCAAGCGATCGACGTTATCGGCTGGCTTTCGTTGGACCCGAAGCTCTTCCGAAGCATCCCACCGCATGAGCGAGAATAAATATGAGTGGGACGAAAAGGTAAAAGCCTCCCCGTATAGAACTTTGAAGAGTATCCCCCGGGTCCTGGGTCTCCAAGGATGCCCATACTGCAATGTTCTGTCATGGCTACCGTGAATATCTCATTTGCGGTGTACAGAGTTTTCTATTGTGTGTGGTGGAAGGAGGGGAAACTAGATGAAGGTACTCCGCATGAGCCTCCATTGAAAGCTAGTTCCAGTCCAATTCCGAGAATACGACTATGGTCTATTAGTATCACCCAACTAGTGGACTAATGCAAATCCTGCATTTTAATTGGCTACGCTACTAGAGGACTATTAGTAATAGTCCTCGAGTAGCGAAATTGGCGCGATCGAGCTTGACGCTTTCTTTCGTTTTATTCCCAAATAAATATTTCTTCAACTTGCATTTGCTAACATTATTGTTGCCTTTTCTGTCCGACTAGTTGGGTGATACTAAAACAATTAGACCCTTCGCCCTCAAGGGCCACGGGTCTATAGCCCATTCGGCTTCGCCTCATGGGCTATTGACCCGTAGCCCTTGCGGGCTACGGGTCTAATTGTTAATTAGATGCGCCGGTTGCTAGCACTACCTCCATCGTTTTCTAGGGTTTGAGGGATTGTTACTACCTGTAACTATTGTTTCAAGAACCAACGAAGTAACTCGTTCAGAGAGGTAGTAGGCGCGCATTTATCTTATATTATAAGCCATGTATGGGGTGCGGAATATCAGCCAATTCTATTCCGTCACCGCATTGAGGGCTTACATGAGATAGCATTGCGCCCGCGCGAACTCAGTTTTTAAAGCACTTACCATGTGTGCAGTGGAGTCAAAATAAGGGTGAGGGCTTGAGAAGGGAGGGCATGTAATCCCTCAATGCTTGGTGACGGGTAGAATTCCAATCAAACTTCAAATTACAGGTAAGTCTCGTTTAATTTTTAAATTATGTTTTATCGCTCCTGGTTTTATAAAATTTCTGTCTCTATAAATTTCGAAATCCTGTCAGAGTTAACTACATATACAGACGCATGTCTAACAATAAAATCTGATCTGATCAAACGCAGTCGCTTTTTACCTATAGAAATTCGACTTTACATCTATATGTTAAAGTTATTTTACCCACGGTTACATATGCGCTACCAATTTGGGGGTGTTGCACAAATAAGAACGAATTTAACGCTTTGGAATCCATACATTGCAGGGCTGCCAGTGTTATATATAACCTCCCGCGCGACATGCCATCTGTAGATGTAAGAAAAATAGCTAAGTGGGACTCTTTATTCGACACTTATAAGGTTAAAATAGCCACCTTAATTTATAATCACACACACTCCATCCTGCTTGGAACATTTAATCCATAGGAAAGAGTCTAAGTATGACCTCCGTCATCAACATCGTGTTAGCGTACAACGTTTTAAAACTTATTATGTGAAAAACTCTATATCATACAGAGGATCCATCGTTTGGAATCTTTTAGAACCATCCACTGTCAGGGCCAGAGATTATGCTAAAAGGACAAATTGAAAAAGTCTCCCGCCCTCAGAAACTTGAACTTTAGTGAAGAGTCACCGCAAATGGGTCTCCAAATTGACAGTGATTTGGTCTTTTATTGATTTTATTCATATCGTTTTTGCATTTTTACAATTTTTTATTATCCTATTGACATTTTTTACACGGTCCCATACGCTATATTAGCTTTAAAACCCACCATGTTTAAATAAAAGATGTTGTTGTTGTATGAAATATGGATTGCTTTATTTGAGTGATTTCTCTCGGCTCGAAGCTGGTTTTAGTCCTGGTATTTTTCGACAGAAGTTACTGAAGTTTTAGCCTCTTCCAGGCGTTTCGTTAGCTGGTGAACAGCGCGAAAAAAAAGGCAGAAGCGCGCCGTTTTTCGCGCTGTACCCCAACTAACTGAACGCCTGGAAAACGCTACTGGAGTTTACATCACTGGAGAAATTGCGGCTCCGGGTAAGCGGGGCTGAAGGAAGGAGAAGAGGGCTGGAAAAGAAATCAGGGCAAAAAAAATGACAGGCTTTTTCCTGCCTTTGGTTGAGATTTACAAAAATTCACGTTAAAGCTGGGATAAGGTGGGGATGGAGGGGGGGCTGGCGTAGAACGTAATGGACAGCTCAACCACACAAAAGTACAATTAGTCAATAGTACAAGGGCTCTGCACATCGTTTATACATCACGGTACATTTTTAGCCTTCCTCTGCAAAACAACATGTAAAACCCCGAAGGCTAATTTTAATCTATCTTTACATATTCAGGTGTAGTCGGTTTTTTAACCGATAGACACGCTATGTCACTATCGTCGTTGTTTAGGCTTTCTCATAATCCAAGGGGCGTTATTTGTATTTGTAGCCCTGAGATAGGCTGTTATTAAAAGAAGAACTTAATAGAGGGAGAGGCTGCTAAGAAAAATAGTTACCACACTTTTTTCGTTTTAAACTTAGTTTATTTATGAAGATACACTGAGTAGATAACATGATATCAAAACAGTGGACTTGAGAAGGTCTACCGGGTTGGATTAAAAAGTCGAGTTTCTAAATAACGCGTTAAAAAAAGAACTTTCTTTTTAACGAAAGCTTTAACAATTTTGTTGCACAGTCATCCTGCTAGGATATTCCGTCTTCTACGTGTTCTATTGATTTTCGATAGCTCTTTTAGCACTTTCCGTTGTCCCTTTTTCTCTTTTCCTTCCAAGCACTTCTCCTTGTCTTCTTCTTCCTCGTTCTCTTTCTTAGCCATCTTAACCATCCCTTTGTCTTCTTTTACCTCGTTCCCTTCCTCTGCCCCTTCCTGAACCTCTATTCCTTCTGCTTGTTCTTCCGCCTCCTCTTCCCTTCCTTAAGCCTCTTTTCTTCTTCTTCGTTATCCTCTTCGCTTTCATCATCATCATCATCATCATCATCTTCATCATCATCATCATCACATTCTTCATCATCATCATCATCACATTCTTCATCATCATCATCATCATCACATTCTTCATCATCATCTTCTTCTTCTTCGTTTTCTTCTTCCTTCTCTTTCTCCACGTGAAATATCATTTGGAATTATCGTTTTTCCCTACATATCGTCCTTTATTTAGCTTTATTTACCGAATTTAGCTTTATTTACGGCTGACTTGGAAGAATTTTTAGCTGACTTTTTGCGATGAAAACACTAAAGGCTCCTTAGCTTGGGAAGGAGGGGAGGCTGAATGGCAGTAAAACTGGCGTAATGTTTCTATACGCGTAGTACGGCTACCCACAACTCGCACCGTAAAATCCGAGAAATGAGTATAGTGATATTTGAGGGCGACGCAACATTATGTCCGTGTGGCAATTTGCCCTTCCACGGCCCGGTACATTAGGCATCTCATGGTATCCCGACTTACCATCCGGCCCCAGATGAGGAACGCCATAGTGGACGTAAGTAGTATTTTTGTCTCAAAATCCATACGTTAGATACAAACACAGTCTAACGACATTTGTATTTTTCTTTGTTTTGTTTTAAGAAAAACATGCGGACGATAATAATATTCAACCAGCAAGCACAAGAGAATTAGACCATTTTTCGTAAAGAATTTACAACTTTATTACCAAAAACATACATTTATTACAGATATGTCAACAAAGATGCACTCCTGGACCTTGACTGTGTGCTCCTGAAATAAAGTTAGTGACAAGTGAAGTTACAAAGAGAAATGACAAACCCTAAGGTTTCAGTTCTCCTCACAAGGTCAGAATTATTCTTCACTTAAAAGATGTAGTCTACATGATGGACTTTTTCTATCTTAAAAGAAAAATCCTGGGAAACATCGATGGAGAAGTGAGATATTTGCACACATTCTGACTTTTGGAATATGGCATCTAACACAGGGATTTGAATGGTCAAGAACGTGTTCACTAGTCACTGACCAAAGAAAATGCTGAGTGATTAGCATTCTATGTTAATTATTAGTTTTATTCTGGGGGGTTTGTACTCTTGATGCAGTACATCATTTTATGTGGAGACACACTTGAAGGTACATGGTAATGGTAACCGTAGAGTGCTTTCCAACAGGGCAAACGAATAATAACTAGAACTTCTCACTGCAAGCAAAAACATATCTCACTTCCCCCTTTTTAGTGACAATCGACTTTAGCAAATTCAGCGAAGTCGAAAAATAATTGTCCAGTCAAATGTAAAAGCTACTTAGTAGTTTCAATTGAGTTCACTAACCTTATGCCAAAATTTGAAGAAAACACCAAATTTGAAATAGTCACTAAATCTTAGCAAACAAAATCTTAAGTAAGTCATCTGGGACCATTTAGGAGTGGCTGAAATATTAACCTTAACGTATTTACTAACTGTTTTGATATCAACAATGTTACTCACCCAGCATACTACTCAGAAATGATGCATATGTTGCACTCCCTGTGATGGCCCCTGATTTTGCAGGATTATGACGAACTGTCTTGACTGTGAATTGGTTTTGTTCTTCTCCAGGTCCAGAGACATCCACCTCCACAATATGGGCATTGAGACTAACACATTTTCAAATGTTAAAAATCATTACTACAATAAACACACCACAAATATGAAATAAACTATCTAATGGCTAATACCAGCAACCAGTAAATAGCTTTTTTACATCACATCGGGTTAATATGCTCTTGGATAGTGCTGTTAGAACACTTTACAAATGAGAGTCATGGAACCAAAACCAAAGTAACAGTGGCAGATCTAGGGGAGGGGCCTGGGGGCCCAATCCCCCTCTCCCCCTAATTTGGGTAAAAAATAAAAAAACTCACACAGGGAGGAAAAGCCAGCAGGGCAAGCAAGCCCACCCCCCTCCCCCACTTAGCTCAAGATCTGGATCCGTCACTGAGCAAGCACTGTGGTTAAGCACAAAGCACACAGGGAATACAGTGAGCCAAACAAAATTCAAAGCAAATATATGTAGCTGATGTGAAGCACAAGAAAACATGTGTGATAAATATTGGTTTGCTTCTGACTGGATGACAAAATGGTGCACAATTTTGTTAAGCCAATTGTGCAGCATACTAAAGCAAAACCATTAAGTTAATTTTAAAGTTAATTTTAATAGTCAAGTGAAAACTGCTCCAATCCATTTACCATTAATAATCAATATGACAGAGAGGCAAAATATTGTTTTTATGTTACCCTGGATCAGCTACAATACATCCTTGTGCTTTATCAAATCCCAGATTGTGAGCTGCAAGGGCTGCAGCTGCCATTGTATTAACATTATTTGGAGCTAGCGAACAAAGTTCACGGATAGGTCCTGAAAACATAAAGAACACTTGTTGGCACACCAACACACAGGTCATCTATATACTCAATTTGATCACATGCTGATGCTAATATATGATGCTGAGTTATGGCTCAAAACAATTTTCAGACTTAGATTTTCATGGGTCATTATAACCACTCTTTATCAGTTGATGCTACAATCATGGCATCAAAAAACTGCCCAATCATTGGTAAACACGTTGTTATCATTTTTGTGACACAATAGGTTACCAACGGTAACCTATTGACAGTAACCTACCAATAGTAACCTAACGGTTGCTAGTTTGGTATGATGAACTAATGTGAGGATTGTCAGGAATAGACTCGCTTTGCCGCTATTGGTATCACCAACGAGGCTAGGCAACCCGGTCCTTGTGCCATTTCTGGTTGAAGTTCAGTAGTCGCAGGAAGTCCTCGCAGAATTCACAAATGCATAAGGGCAGTATGGATGAAAAGGGGCTGGAATGAGACAAGAGTGCCGCACTTATTTTTCATCCCGATCCCTTCTAGTCTGTAATGTCTCGCCTCATAATCCAGACCTCATTCTGAGAGAAAAACAGATTGCCGACAGTCTAGTAATATGTCAAGAAGATCACCACTACTTCATCACCAATATGATCAAAGATTCTTTTGATACAATATTACTGTTTTAGCATCAACTGATTAAGAGTGGTAGTATTGATCCAAATAAATATCAGCTGATGACCCATCACCTGTTAGAAAAAAATTCAAGGCTACAATATTATTATAGAAATTGAGCCCATTGCCTCAACGATACAAATGTAGTGCTCTAGCAACTGAACTATAAAGTCCTGATACACTGAGAGTAAGTGAACTATGGGTTCAGGAAACAGGCAGGACATTAGTATGATCATGTGATCAATCTGGCTGGAAAACAACAATCATATGCCAATAATTTCATTCTATAAGTGTTGACTCCAAACAATTAGAGATTGAAAGCGTTGCAAGGTTAAGCCTCTCTAAGAATTTTTGTTTCAAAACCAAGTTATGGCATTGATCACTCATGTTCTAATTTGTGTTTTCTGCATATTATACATACCATCATATAGGACCACAGGTTCTGAGTGTACTTGTGCATTCTTTGCCTTAAGAGGTTCATTCAGTTTATAACAAGATGGATGTTTCTTCATGGTCACTTTCAGTCCCTGAAAAATGATAGTGTAGTCAACTGCATTATTCAACAAAAGAATACCAGGACTGGGGTTGTCAATATGTCAGTCAACGATATCTCATGAAACAACTCAAAACAATTTACAGAGACCATGCAATTCTTGGTAGCAGACTTGATATGCAAACATAATACATTCCACTGTTTAATACACCTTCCAGATGAAGCTACAAATATGTTATATCAGGTCATATAATTTGTTATATCAAAACTATTAGCAGAGTATCCAAACCTTTAATGTTTTCCTGTCTGCCATTTTCTTGATATCATTGCCACCCCAAAGTGCTCCACTTGGTATGTAAATGCCATGAGTACCATTGGAAGCCTTCTGTCTCAGCTTGTTTTCAACATCCAAGTTTGCCAAGGCAGTTGGTGAACCAATCTACCAGAACAAGGCATCCAAAATGAGCCATTCATACCAGCCTGATAACTTTTAAATGAGCCATTTATACTGTGAGCCTGATACGCAAGTGGATATTAATTGTAAATTCTGTCAGTGGAGTAGCACAAAAAAGTAAATATAGCATGACTTTCTTTTTTGTCTCCAGAGACAGTCCAGGTAGTTGACAACAACTTTTTTTCACATTTAAACTGACATGTCCCATTAGAGAAAAATTCCACCAGAAGTTCTAAGAAGGATTTCACCACATGTTCTACTAACAAGTAGACAAAAACTTTGTACTGAGATTATTTACGTCCTATTGCAAACTTCTGTTCGACTATTTTATCTTCTCCAAAAAAAAAAATTCATTTCTAACAACACCAAATGTCAAAAACAAATTTTGAACTTCATATGAAACACTTAAAAGTACTGGTGAAATGAAACTGATAATGAAATTTACCTATTTTGACACAATTTCTCTGAACTTTGAAATTTACTTTCCCGTGTTACTTAGTGTTATTTCAGGCAACTATTTGATATATCTTTAGCTTTACAAAAAAAGTAAAAAGGACTCTAAAATACCTAAAATTATTCTGGTACAAGGTTTTTGTCCAGATTTCATTTTCCTGTCACATACCATGTAATCAGCAACATCAAGGAAAACTTCACCATAATCCACAGTTATTGAAGGATGTGCAACTTCTACAATCAAATCTGGAGCCCTGTATAAACATTGGACCCCAAGGTCCAAGGAAACCTCTAGTACCTTTGTTTCAATCAATACTAACTTTAACTAGACTGTGAACAGGTACCCTAGTCAGGTACAAGGCCAAACAAATTGGCAACAGAAGGTGAGCAGGGCTGAATCCAGAAAATTCAAAAAGAGGGGGTCATAAATATATATTTTTTATTTGTATTTCCGAGTTTTACAATTAACTAACAGATATCCTGTGTTATGATAGATTAAGCATCTTGGTTAAGTGAAATTAATATGGTTGACACTTCAACTTTGGAACAATAATTTAAGCTGTTGAAAATGACATCACTGTCTAAATACAATTTAGGTACCTTTCTGCAAATGATGACAGAGTTTCCAAAATATAACGATCCTCTACTTTGCCCCTGATTACTTCCAAAGTTCTGTTCCAAACAAAACTAAGCTCTAGATCATTTCTTTGAAGTATTTCTTCTACTAAGTATTGTCCTGAAAATAGAGTATGTCAGCATTTTATATTGTATGCAGACTATACCTCACAAACTTTCAATCATAAGCCCACCAAAAAATAAGCCCTCCAGAACCTAAACCTCCAAATCTCAGACCCAAAATTCTTTCCTACAAGATGCATTCCTCTCATTAAGCCCATGGGCTAATATCAATGATCCCACTTGAGAAAAAGTTGAGCTTTTACAAACATCAATCATCTTTGCCTCTTTGCTAAAAGCTACAGGTTTGTACTTGTAAAAAAGATCACTTGAGACAACTCAGTTGTCTCTAAACTTGACAATATATAAAACATCCAGTGAACTACGGTGACCTCACAAAAACATACAGTCAACCATAAGTGGTTAACACTTTTGTTCTATCTGTAA